ACAGCCGCTCATGCGGAACACTGTCAAATGCTTCGGCAAAATCGAGGTACAACGCATCCACTGTCTCTCTTTCGTCCAGCAGGCGATAGATAATAAGTTATTGGTGCAGGATCTACCGGCAACAAAACCATGTTGATAATCTGATAAGGAGATGTTGAGCAGTCAAGTGATCGATAATCCTATCCCTCACAACAGATTCCATTAGCTTACAAACAACACTTGTCAGACTGACAGGGCGATAGTTGCCGGGGCTGCTTTTGTCACCTTTTTTGAACAATGGTGATACTTGAGCTCCTTTCCAGTGGGGCGGCAAAGTTCCTTCGTTCAAGGTTTTTTGAAACAATACTGTCAATGAAGGTATACACTTGCGTGTTCGGCTGCCTTGTCTTCGAGCTGGTTGTTGCTGAGGTATACATCCTACGAACGCATATAAATTTGAAAGCACATTTGTTGCTATCAGATGTACGTAGAGGCGTAACCTCTTGTGGTCACATCAATATGACATACGGTATGTGATTGCATGGACGGACACATCCATTACGTGGGTAACACACCATATTCCATAACAATATTAATATTTATAACATCTGTCAAACTTTCAGTTAGGACAATGATCGTAGAATAGGACGAATACGTTCACAGACGATGTCGGTATAACGGAGTCAATACTATAAAACGATACCTATAACAGTGGTGTCAAGGAAACCTTATTATACATTGCTTTCAGTCTTTCTCATTACGCTTTTAATGAAGAAAATTAAATTATCAACTCGGAAAGAATGCAGTGTAAGAGTTTCAACAGACAAGGCACATAGAAGGTCAACAGAAACCTTCACCCGCCAGAAGCTGGACAAAACCGTCCGCGTTCTTGCATCAGTAACACGCAATGATATCTTCTCATGTACTACATTGGTGGAGAAATGTGGTCCAGGGGTCGTATTATCAAAAGTTCGTAAGAACGCAAAATCGACTTACGAGAGGCGTAAGTGCTGACTTGATGACGTAACTCTAGAGGTGGTATTATCAAAACATTGGCGCGGGAACCTACGTAACGTAACTGTACGCCTGCTCGGAGATGTCGTAAGTGGGGATCCACACAAGTTTAGAGTGTCTGCTGAAGCAATAGGAAACTATTGATTTACTAGCAAGCAGCAACACCGTGATTTGTGATAGAATTTTTTCAATAATCAGACAGCGCGGATTATACACGCATAGAATGATGGCTCTACTTGTGGTGGCTCCACTACTTGATCGTGCAACATTTGCACGATCAAAATATGTAATCTTGCTAAGCAGTGCTATTGGAAAAAAAATTCAATTCATTTTTTCAAAATTTTTTCATTCATTTTCAAAAATTCAATTCATTCATTCCTTCTAGTCGGTACTTTATATCTTTGCCATTCATAATTTTTAGCTCCGTACACAGATTTCTTCTTCAACTCACGCTGTTAATTAAAAAGAGTTCACAACTATTTTAGAACGGCTTTTTCTGGGCCAACAAGGAGCAATACCGACAGACAGCATTCGATAGTCGATACCATCGAAGGAATCGATTCCCGCCATCGAAGTTCACAGAATGTAAACAAATCCAAAGCCTCTGATTGGTCAGTTGGCCAGATGGTTTTGATAGTACGCTTTTAGCTAAGTCTTACGTACGAATGTTTTGATAATGCCAAAATTAGGGTGTA